ACCGGAAGGAGCGGAAGCGGTCGACTGTGGCATAATAAAAGCTCCGCTGCTTTCGAGCCGTGTGTCGCGCTTGTTCAGCGGCCTCATTTCGCTTCGATGGCTTTCAGCCTCACCCTGCTTCTTACTACGACGTTAATAAATCATTAGCTCATCCATGAACATGATTTCTGCCCCAGTCCAGTCAGATTGCATTGGCTGTGGGGATGAAGACGACAACACCCATGATTCCACACTCAGTCACGGTGTCATCAAACTACGCCTTTGTTTCTTTGTTTGTTTTGAATACGCGCCCTCTAGCGGCGAAAACTTACATATTGTGCCTTAAGGTCTCCTAATAATCTTAAAGTCGGCATGAAACGGAAGTAGCGATTGTCTTTTTTTCTCTACTGTGACATCTATCCGAGTGAAACGGCATCTGAAATGAGAGGGCGGGACTTGATTTCGTCCTTCGGGAATTGATTGGATCGTTGGAAGTTGGGGCGTTGCAAACAAAATGGAGGCAGATCTGAATGCCAGTTTGCAGTTAGTTGTGGGGGAAATTCTTTCCACTGGATTCACTGCCGACACCCTAGCATGAAGAAATGTTTTATTTATTGAGGAAGACGACGACGAAGACGATCAACGGCACAAAACATACCTAACAGAGCTCGTGCGAGAGAGAGAGAGACTGCCTGAATGACTGAGCGCATCCTCCATCAGGTTAACGATGGAGAAAAAAATAGTTTGCGATGTCCTACGAGTAATGTGGTAATATGCTATTATCCTTTCAATTTTAAGGGTAGTGTACTCCCCCATGGCTTGCGTCAGCACTGGTCAATGCATTGATTTCTATAAAGTGAAGCATCAGCTTCAGTTTTTCCCCCTGTTGTTTATCCCAGCGTTTACCCCTCATGTTACTAGCTCCGCCCTTGCGCCATAGCTCCTGACCGGAAGAGAAGATGAGTCGTTTTGAGGGGGAGGGGAGGTTAACGTTTTTGATTAAAGATTACGAGGGAACATGAATTAAAAAAAAAATGATGAAGTGCACGGATAAATTATTTATAATAAACACTACAGTATTCCATTAAAAAATAAGAATTTTCAATTTTGATTTCATGGTGACTTTAAGGTCTCGAGACGCGTTCTTTTCCATAGAAAAACAATGGAAAACATAGCATAGTAGAATAGAAAACAATGTTCTGTGTGAATGGCCCCTTATTGCTACATTTAATTGGCTACACCAATTAAAGTTAATTGTAATCAGAGATTACAAATAATGACTGATGAAAAATAAATAGTCTATCAATAACTCCTTACATTACATCCAGCAACAACATCATCTCCATCAGCGCAGACCATGCTTTGTGTGACCTGAGAGCCCCACCAGTCAGACCTAGAGCAGGTGGTGTAATCCACCACAGGCAGGAGAGACTGCTGCAGGATATCAGCAAGGGGTCCATTGGCTAGTTATTGACAGTGGAAAAAAAAGGTAGATGAGAAGAAAAGCCAAAAACAAAGTCTGGATATCTCCTAATCATGCAGTCGGTTGAGTTTAACAGCACAACTTCATCCATAACCATCAACATTACTTACTGTAGAGACATCCCCAACCAGTGACATAGCAGGGAGCATTGTGGGGCAGAACATGCCCATCAGCAGGCAGACATGTAGGAGTGATAGTGTCACTTGGAGTGACAGCACTCTCCAGTTTGATCAGGACGATGTCATTACTGCGGCCCAGACACAACATGAAAATTAAATTCATTGCACAAGTTATTCAAGATATGCATCTCTTTTGTTTGTGAGGAGACTTTTGGCCCCCGTACCGGATAGTGAAGGAATTCCTGCCCTCGTGGACAATGATCTTTCCAGCGGCGATGGCCACAGATCCATTCTCCTCCTCCTTCAGGTTGTTTTCCCAGATACACCCTGTAAGTTCTGCTACTGCTGCAGGGCCACAGGAGGAAGACAAAGCAGTTCAGAAACACTCACAAATACTATCAAATGGTAAATAATATCATGGTACTTTACTGGTACTAAATATGATATACTAAAATTGTCCTTTTTTTTATTTCTAACTAGGCCTGTGTTTAAGTTCCTCAGCCTATTCCTCAGACTAATCTGATACAGTGAGCAGCAGTCAGAACCCACTGATTGGAAATAAGGCTTCAGTCTATGCTTCCACCGCAAGTGTGGTACCAGTTGCTGCTGTCACTACTGTACTGGAGGGAGATCTGGGAGAAGAACAGAACAGGGGTCAGTTGTCTTTCTTATGTCTTTTTGTTTATAAGCCAGCAAATATTACTTTTTAAAGGCCCTTTAGCGTAATTCTGAAAACGTACCCCTTCAAATGTCTTTTTAAAAATGTAACATTTGAATCATCTTTGCAGATTTTTGTCAAGTGAACATAAGAATAAAATTTCTATTGTTAAAAATATATTTCGAGATGAACACATACTGGACTGAAGCAACTTAGGTTTATACTTGATTATCCATACATAATGTTTTAGAAAAATGTCAAAATTTGAGTATCAAATATGACACATCAGGCTTTTGAGGAATGTTTATTTGTACATCTCTCAATCACATTTGTATATTTTTGCCAAGAAATAAAACCGTAAACATTACGAAGCCTTGGACGTAAAACTACGCATTTAAATGTCTTCTTACTAAGACACATTATTGGGAGATATATAGACAATGTACTACTTATATTTATTTGTATTTTAATAATGATAATAATAATATAATTATATCTAATTATTATAATACTGTTATTCATTGATCTCATTGATTTCTCAAGATTTTTTATGTTCATATCTAAGTCTTCATGGGGTTAACATAGCTTTCAATTGGAAAATGTTTTTGAACAAGGGCAGAAATTAAGATTAACTGGACAGTATGTTTTAATAAAAATAATGGAATGTGCATGTACCTGCCAGGGCCAGCTGTTTGGACGGACATCCACACCCCCCACAACCCTCGATATAATAGGAGGGTAGGTGGGAAGCCCACATCCGTAAGCTGAGGTGAAACATAACAAAAGTAATATAATTGTTTAAAAATGCTAAAGAAGATTGATGCTCCATCTCCTGCATGTTATTTCCAGACTTTAAAAAATAGTCAGTACTACAGTATATATTATCAGTCTTTAAAGGCTTCTTACCTCCAACAAATAAAACAGCCAGGACCACAAACTTCATCATGCTTGTATCTTCAACATTGGCCCTCTCTTCTGGGGTTTATATACTGGCCAGTTCACTTTCAGTGTAATGTATGACCACAGTTAAGCAATCGTTTGGAACGAATGTCCTTGACTGCTTTAGGAAAAACAAATAAAATAGCCCTCTTGGTGGTTCTTTGGATACACTTTGACTTTGATAATTCAAGGCTATCTAATCATTTTAAAGTCATTTTTACCTGTTAGTTAATATGTTGAACATTTGTTGTTTTCTCACAAAAAAAAAAAAGAAGTTTTTTTCATAGGCCTATGTATGTGTGAATGTTCCTCTGCAATGTGGGTTTAATGCACAATTGTTGTTTAGGCTATAATCTATAGTCTTTGATATTTTGATATTTATTGTAAATTTCTGAGTGCACGTTTAATTTGTTTAGCAGTATTTCCAATAATAGCCATGGTTCTAAAGTCTGACTTGGCATGTAAAGTTGTCTTGAGGAACCTGAAAAATGTGACCCCTCTCTAAATAAAACACCACACTGCCGCCCACTGGGCTGTAATGGAAATGTCACTGAGCTATAAGACCTCACAGACACTGACACAGCATGCTAAATGTTATGAATTTGTTATGAAATACCATTAAAAAAACATTGTGTTCAAAGAATTAAATCACAAAGGACATACATGCATTTGAACTGTGTATCTATTATGTTAACCCTTCTGTTGTGTTTAAAAACTGGGTACAGCTTCTCTGTTGGGGGTCAAATTTACCCACATTGGTTTCCACCAAATCTGCTAAAAATAAGCAATATGAAAAATACTAAAGATTCATGTAAGGACATAAAAACTCTAATGTAGCTTGTCAGAGACTATAAAATGTGAGAAATGTCTCCTTAAATTTCCTTATATTTTCTGTTGAGTTATGGATCAATCTGACCCATATATTTTTCTTCAAAATTAGTTGCATAGACACACACACTAAACATTTTTTTTTGCCATGACTACTATAGTGACTATTTGCACACTTAGGAGGTGTAAATAATATCTTACAGTATTTGTATTTAGTGTAACAGTCTAAGATAACAAACAAGAAACTAACAAGCAAAAACAATTATCGACAGACTTTTTTAACTGTAAAACTCCACTAGATAAAGGAAAAGTGAATTTTCCTTGGATGATTCAGAGGATGAGTCTCGATTTCGAATAAACTTTGAGTTTTAAAATTCTCTTGTATTTCATATTTTAGTGTTTGACAAGCTACAATAAAAGTGTTCTGACTTTACTGTTAATTTTTTTTTGGCAAATTGCATGGAAACCAATGGGGGTCAGTGTTGACACAAAAGGTAAGTAACAATTTTTGTACAGCCTTTCCAAAACATATGTATGTGTTGAAACTTTGCATGCACATTCATGACCCTTAATGAGAAATATTTACAGAATTCCATAAATAAATAAATAAATAAAGTATTTTGAGTAGTTTGAAAAGCAAGTGTAGGTCAAATTGACCCCAACACAGCAGGTTTTAGTTAATACTAATATATTAGTGTTAATAAATTTAGACAACTATTTTATGTTTTTTAATATTTGTATTGTTCAAGACATGGATGACAGAAAACTCCTATTTCTGTTTGCTTTTTAATAGCTGGCCATGCTCTGTAAGAGATAACAAATGGAAAATATGAGTATTAGTTTCTATAACGATAAACACTGTCCAAAAGGACATGTAGCTTAATTTGTCTGCATGTTTGCTGTCATAAAACACTTACGCTGCTGATCCAGTCAATGTATGCGCTCACACGAGTGAAAATGTTGGGCCTCTTGAGTATTAGGCAGGTATTTGGAATCGTATGGGATAAAACACCATGGACTTCCCAAATACCGTTGCTACCAGCACAATTTAGGGGGCCAACATTGTCACCCTGTTTTGTTTGACAAAGAGGGTCAGAGATTCATTTGTCACAAAAAGTAAAGCAATTAACCATTATGGAATAACATAACACAAATATAATTGAAAATGGTTTACAGAGGACTCCTTTAGTGGAAATAAAACACTTATCAAACATTTTCCTTTTGAAAAACATTCAGTGTTGGCCTACTGATTAGTTCTGAAACATAAGAATATTTGTCTAATCTTCAATGTACATACTGTAAGTGCATAGTAACCAATGGCTAAGTATTAGACTTCAACATAAGCCACTTTCATCACGCCAATATCTCCTTACAGTACATCCAGCAACAACACCATCTCCACCAGCGCAGATCATTTTTTGTGTGACCTGAGAGCCCCACCAGTCAGACCTAGAGCAGGTGGCGTAATCCACCACAGGCAGGACAGCCTGCTGCAGTGCACCAGAAATGGGACCACTGGCTAGTTAATGATATTGGAAAAAGAGGGTGAGAAGAGTTGCTCTCTAAAAAACTTTATTCACAACCATCAGCATTACTTACTGTTCTGACGTCCCCAACCAGTGACATAGCAGGGAGCATTGTGGGGCAGAACATGCCCATCCGGCGGAAGACATGCAGGGCTGATAGTGTCACTTAGGGTTACAGGAGTCTGCAGTTTGATCAGGGCGATGTCGTTACTGTGGCCCAGACACAACATAAAAACAAAGACAAGTACATTCTTTGCACACAATTTCCAAGACATGGGTCTTCCTCCCACAAGACTAATATTCATCCCATGCACTTTTCATGAGACAAATATATATTTACGTCGTGTGTTTAATTGGACCATTGTGTGTGTTTAAATTCAGATGTTCAATAAAGTGGTCAAAGATTGAGATTTTAGTTCATTTGGTTGAGTTTACTAGAAAATTGTTGTACACATAGACGATGAACACATAATTGTTTCCAGCAATCAAAAACGTGAGTGTGGACAGTAATTGTCATGTTGTGCCTTCTCCATGACACATGCACAATAAGTTATCCAAACAAAAGTGACTGTTTCTTTGCTGTTATGAGCCTATTGTTTAATTAATATTTCTTAATTACCGTTTATTTTTTATACATGTATATAAAACCTCACTTGTGAAAGGATTTCTACACCCCTGGTTAAGTTCTATTCTCTTGGTCACCATACCGTAAATTGTTAGAATTCCAGCCAGGATGGATAACGATCTTGCTAATGTAGATGATGATAGATCCACTCTCTTCCTCATACATGTTATGTTTTCCCAAATGCATTCTGTCATTTAGGGAATTACTGCAGGAAAGACAAAGCAGTTCAGAAACAAGTACCAACAAGTCATTGACAAAAGTACTGTGGTGGACCCAATGCTTAGTAATCTTATAAACTCATAACACCATGGTACTTTGGTATATATCATACTGTACATATTTACATGGCACGATAAGGTACTTCAAAGAATACCATAGTATTATTTTATTTTTAAATATAGCTTCCTTTTAAGAACCTCAGCATTTACCAGCATTTTAACATCTCTAAAGTAGTTTTCCAGTAGAGAATTTCCTCTGTAAACTGATCTTTAGTCCACTCTTAAAGTGCATCAGACAAATTAAGTCACCATATCCCACAAAGCAAAGACTTACTAGAGGCAGTGAGCAGCAGTCAAAACCCACTCTTCAGAAATGAGGGTGCCACCACAATGGTGGTACCAGCTACCACCACTTCTGTACTGGAGGGAGATCTGGATGATAAAAGTATAAAGGAATCAGTTGTCTCAATTGCTTTAGTTTGCAAGTGAGCTAATAGTAACACAGTTATTGTACACCTTTTAAAGGGGTCATATGATGCGATTTCAAGTTTTCCTTTCTCTTTGGAGTGTTACAAGCTCTTGGTGCTTAAAGAAGATCTGTAAAGTTGCAAAGACTAAAGTCTCAAATCCAAAGAGATATTCTTTATAAAAGTTAAGAGTCAGCCACACCTACCTAAAACGTCTCGTTCTAACACGCCCCCACATATCTACATCACTATGTGGGAAGATTTGCATAACGCCGCCAAAATGTTCACGCAAAGAAAGAAGGCGTAACTTAGCCCTCTGGCCGTTCCTCACGCTAGCCCCCGGCTTCTGCTCACTATAGGCCGCCACTGCTCACTCAAGGCCGCCGTGTGTGACGCTGTGTTGCGTTGTGAAAGCGAAACTACTTTGTTTGGCCTTCCAAAAATGGACACGACTAGACATCAGTGGTTAAGTTGTATTTACAACACTGTTCCAGATGTATTATTTTTATTTTTAAAAATATTCAAAAAATATTTTTGAATATTTTTTGGTTTAAAACCCCTTAACAGTCATCCCACATTTTTTAAAATAGGCATGCAGGTGCACTATCCAAACTTAAATTGTTGTAATTTATGAACACTTTTGAATACAGACCTAAGGCGAGACTCAGACCTTTCCAGTGATATGTTTTTTTTTTTGTCAAGATTCTAAAAAGTTTTGATTGTAAAAGAGCGTAATGCATTTTGTAATATGACAATTGACACTGCCCACTAAGGGGGAGGAGACCGCCAAAAGATTTAAAAGTACCATTTCCATGGTAACGCAATGTCCGATTTCAAAATGGTTTTCACAGGATGAATTTTGGGCTTCTAAGCTTTCAAATTATATATGATTTATGATGATTACTAAAAGATTTGATAGAGAAAAAGGGCAACAACAAAAAAGAGTGCCAAGCGTCCCACAGGTGGGACGGTGACAGTTAAGGGTTAAAAATCAAAGAGTCAAAGTAAAAAATATTAGGTTGATACAACTGTCTTGATAATAAAATGATTAAATGATAAACGATTATAAATATATAAAGAATAAATGAATGTAAAAGAAAGTAAAACACAACACAAATATATGGTTGCTCTCTTGAAGCAAAACACACAGTTTGCATTTGAGGATCCTCATGATCCTCATGAAAAAATGCTTATTAAAAGAAAGAAAATTGAATTAATAGTTCATTATATTTATGAAAAATGCTTGTTACCTTGAAAAATATATTTAATACTTTTTGAAAATTATGATTAAAGTGTGTACATTCACATGTACTAAAGGTGTAAGAAAAAATGTTACTACTACTTACCTCAGCATGGTTTCAAGAAAAAAATATAAATAGTACATTTCTAAGAACTTGACTCACACATTCTACACTAGATTTAGTTACAGTTTAAATTCCCTTTAAAGAGATTTTTCCTTTTCTTTATGAACACTCTTATACTGTATGTAATTGACCCATATGCATTTTTATGATAATCAATAGTTATGTGACTGTCCTTGTGGTTACAATTAATAAAAAAAATATTAATCAGACTATATTATCAGTCTTGAGGACTTCTTACCTCCAACAACGAGAATAGCCAAGAGCACAGACTTCATCATGTTTATATACAAGCCAATTCACTTTCAATTCGCCTTTAGGAACGAATGATTGCTTTAGAGAAAAACTAGTCAGAAAAAGTAGCTCTCTGGTGCGCCTTGACCTTAATATTTCACATGGTAGAGTCTAATCAAAATAATTTTGCTGTTGATTAACAGGTTGAAGGTTTGTTCTCATATTTAGTTTGACTGCAGAATCCTCTTTTTATAGTTTTTTTCTTCTTTTAATTTTCATGTATACTTCAGGTAAATATCTTCAATCCAACCCAAAATACATGGCACTCTATATTTTTAGTTCCCCCCCACCCACAAATTTATTTTAATCCTGAAACTTCACAACACTAAAAAAATATCAACATCAAATCTGCAGAAGCACAAAAAGCCATCTGGCTTTGGCAAGAGATTACTCTTCATATCAGCATGTCATCTGTGCATTTCACAGGCTGCATATATAAAACCTGTAAGATAACTGATATTTTGGGATGTTTATCTACAAGGCTAAATGATACTGGGAATGCTATCGGTGCTTTGCTACAGGAAATGTAACTGGCCTGTGTTGCTGTCCAGGCCCAGGTTAGTTATATAAATGATGGGTGTTTGCCTGTAACCACTGCAATCAGGAATCATGAAATTTGTGATCTTGGCTCTGTTCATTGCTGGTGGTAAGATGAACATTTGTCTACTTAAAAAAAAGAGTTTATACTTTGGCTCCTAAGCTGTGGAAGTGGAATGAGCAGGAATATCTTTCTCATTTCTCACATAGATATGCATTGCAGCTAATGAACCCCGAGCAGACATTTAATTTATCATTGTGTGTGCATGTGTGTTGTGTCTTGAAACAGCCTACGGTTGTGGGCAGCCCACCTATAAACCTGTCGCCTCAAGGGTGGTGGGTGGAACTGATGTTAGCCCAAACAGCTGGCCATGGCAGGTATTGTGAATATTGCACTGGAAAAAATAATAACAATTATTTTTTTTAAGTTGTAATATATTTTACAATAAATTATTTTGGTCATTCTACTTACAAATTGTTTACTTAAATGTGTTACTTGCTATTTTTCATAACTAATTGTGAAAATTACTAGCAATTTCTGAGTGAAAACTCTTTCTACACCATTTTTCTTGCAAACATAGAAATATGTAATGATAATTCTGAAATCATTTCGACGGTATTACTAAATGCACTGAAAGGAGCTTCACTTCAACACTCTCTACCTTATCAATTTCAGGTGTCTCTCCAGTACCAGAGCGGCTCCAGCTTTTACCACACTTGTGGTGGCACCCTGATCGATAAGCAGTGGGTTTTGACTGCTGCTCACTGCATTGGGTACGGTCAAAATAATCAAAAGAATGCAATGAATGTTTCCATAAGTTGATCTACATTATGAGATGGACTCAAACTATGTCTTAAACTTCTGTCAAGCAGCAGCCGCACTTACAGAGTCTACCTGGGCAAGCACAATCTGGCACTCAGCAGCGAGTCCGGCTCTCTCGCCATCTCTCCTTCCAAGATTATAGTGCATGAGAACTGGGATTCCTACAATATCCGGTTGGTCCTTATCTAATTTTAATGTAGGGGACAAAAAGACTAATCTGAGAGTGTGTTTTTGATATATTTGTGTGTTTTCCAGCAATGACATTGCGCTGATCAAGTTGTCAAGTCCAGTGACTTTCACTGACAAGATTTCACCTGCTTGCCTGCCTAATTCCGAAAGCATTCTGCCTCACAACTTCTCCTGTTACGTCACTGGCTGGGGACGCCTCTGGAGTAGGTGCCTTTCCACTGCTATTTACCTATTTTCAAGCAACAAATGTTTTTTCTTAAAGCGGTCCCTTTTGTCTTTTTCTCTCCTCAGCCAATGGCCCCATTGCTGATATCCTGCAGCAGGCTCTGCTCCCTGTTGTGGACTACAATACCTGCACTAGGTCAGACTGGTGGGGCAACCTTGTGACCAACCTCATGGTGTGCGCTGGTGGAGACGGAGTGGTGTCCAGCTGCAATGTGGGTTTGATGCACACTTTTTATTTATGTGTTTGTATTATGATATTCCATTATTAATAACCAGTATGAGTGAAAATGTACACTAATGATGTTACCTCACTTGTACAGGGTGATTCTGGTGGCCCTCTGAACTGCCAGAGAAGTGACGGCACCTGGGATGTTCACGGTATTGTGAGTTTTGGCTCCAGCTTGGGCTGCAACTACCCCAAGAAGCCCTCCGTCTTCACCCGTGTGTCTGGCTACATTTCCTGGATCAACAATGTGAGTATACTTAATAAACCTGTTGGTATTTTTCTGAACACATACCAACTTTTCACATATCCTGTTTCAGATATTCAGGTATTTAAACAAGCCTCTTCTTTTTCAGGTGATGACCTCTTATTAAAGAGTGAAAAGTGTGGTTACCTCAAAATCATCATAATCAACAACAACAACAAAATAAATGTGGAATCAATAAACTAATTTATTCAGCAACTATTGTCTGCTCTTGGCCTAAATGAATAAAAAAATAAAAAAATAAAAACATTAAAAAGCATTATTTTTCCACTTTTTGTCGCTGTGTTTGTATTACCATTTGCTTGCTTACTCTAGATATTTTCCCAATTATATCTATCTTTATGCTAGGAGCTAAATGTGCTGGGGTTGTAGCCTAGTGTAGTCCAGATAGTAAAGTTTGTAGACAAACTTTAATGTTGGCTTGGGAGAGCCTAGTCTGAACGTTAAAAACAGTTTTATTAATGTAAGTTTGAAGTAGGCTAGCCTATTTACACGTCAAACATATTGTTTAAAACTGCCCTTACAAAAATAAAACTATTAGTGTAGCAAAACCATAATGTTGTGGTTACCACAGTTTAAGCATGTTTTTTGGTTTTATTTGTGCAGTCATTCTTGAGAAGTGGGACAAAACAGGGTGCAAAATTGAAAAAATAAAACCTTGTACTCAGACAAATGAAACTACATTTATGTATCTTGTATGTACTAAGCTACTGAGCTATGCTTTGATACAACCTCCCAACTTTTCTCGTTTTTAACAAAATGTGCTTTTTTACCTTGGACTGTGTAATATAATTTCAACTTTATTTTTAACAGCATTCAAGATGTTTTTAACATTTCAAAACACATTCTCGTGTTAGCAGACCGATTACACGTTCACATGTGACCAACAATTCCACAACAAATATAAAATATCATAATGAAATATTATCAAAATATTCAACTGACAGAGGTGACAGAACTGACGGAGTTGACACATCCGACGGTGGTGATGAAAACCTGAATTTGTAGTAATTTTAACTACCAAATACATTGAATCAGTCAATTACTGTATTAAAACAAAGTGAGTATGTTATTGTTTATAAAGTTTTTATTCAAGTCACATTTAAGTATTTTGATATATCATTGGAACACAAAATCTTATGGTGGTGACATCTGACGGTGTTGACAAATTTGGCATTTCTTTCACAAAACCAATGGAGTGCATGTAGTAGCCATTTTATTTTTTTCTGTTGATGCTAGATGCTAATGGAACCTGCTTCAGGAGAATAAAATTATCTAAATATTTCAAATAATTTCCTCAGAAATTGGAAGATGGTGTTGACATATCATGGCTGTGACAAAGGAAATATTAACATTAGGATTTAAAATATTCTAAAACTAAAACTTAGCAGAGCCTGTCTGACACTGATGTACTCTGCAGAGGTGAACTGTGGCAAGGGGGTCCTTTAGAGTGACAGCTGCCCCTGATATTCCCTGATTTTATTACATTTTATTGAATGTCTGACGGTGTTGACAAAAAGTGGGGACGCAACTTTAAAATCGTATGAAACACGCATGTGTCATTAAAACAACAACCTTGCTTTGATAGGAGATATTATTAAGTGTTGCTTTTGATAAAACAAGCTCTTTTTCATCATTAATTTTTTTTTTATCCATTTTATTGCATATGAATGATTGAACCCTTCTCTGTGGACACACAGTTTTAGATGTAGTGAGAGGACATTAAGAAACACAGATTTGGTATAATAATGAGAAAATTAAATTGAAGGTGATAATTGTGTTAAATGCATTCTATTATTAATCCCGCATGACATTTAAAATCGAAAACATTTTTATTTTTTAAAGCTAATAGCAGTTACCCTTGCTGGTCCTGTTTTGTCCCACGTCTCAAGAATGACTGTGTGGTAACATGGTTAATTTTCGTAAGGGTGTTACCTCGCACCACCAAAATACAGACTTTCGGTCGACATAAAATTACTAATTCCTCTCGAAAAATATTTTTGAATAGAACGAGATCAAATAATAAGTGCTGAAACGTCATATTTTAAATAGAGAACTTGAATTATTTCATTTATTTTGACAACGCGCCGCGAGCCCACGTTTCCACGGCGGAAGATTAACGTCTATTCATTCACCCCGGACAGAACGGACTGCACGCTGGGTTGAAGGCGGTGCTCCAAGTTCCTTGACGTTACCATGAAAACTTGTACACAACCTATTTAGGCAGCAAGTATCATGCCTATGAGCAACCGGGTTGTACACAGTTCAGACAGATGAAAACTTATACTGGTGAGTTGTCAAGAAAATCATCGCAATCTATAAAAATGCTGGTACCTATTATATTTCTTGCAATCAACCGAGGTTTCAAAGCAGAAAGCGTCAGTGAGTGTACGTACATTCAGCGCTATATTATTTACCAGATTACAATTTGTATTTCGTCAGCAGGTTGAAATGAGGGGTTACCTCAAAACTTTAAACTGGGTATTTAAACTCCGGCCTAAAAGCACCACTATAGGAAGACACAAAGACTCTGACCTCTGTCTACAGGTATTAAGCCTTATTTCTTCCCAGTGTGTCCAGTCATTATGTCAGTTATTGATTCAAGCTTTAGTTATTCATCATGATGAGATGATGATCTTATACTGAGTAGCCTATGACATACGGACTCCTACTAGACATGTCACTAGAGAGGACATTCACACAAGTGTTTCACACATTCATTGTGTTTCTCATCTCATCTGCTCAGAATAGTGGGGTGGATGAATGTCATGCCACTATTGACTGGTGTGAAGCAGACGGCTGCTATGTTATCCATGACTTAAACTCTGCCCACGGGACCTACGTCAATGACTGCCGGATACACAATGCCACTGTGCGTCTCTCTCCAGGAGACCAGCTTCACTTTGGCTATGGAGGATCAACCTATGAGCTCTGCATTGACAGCGAGAAATCAGTAAAATTTATGTTTGACCAGATAAATTATATTGTGTCCATTCGTTTGTGTTTTTTCAGTAGCATTTTTTATTGACTTAAGTTCAAGTTCAAAGAAAATATGGTAATTAAGTATCATAAATGAGACCTGCAACATACAGATTCAAGTTGATATGAAATTATACAATGTCATCTTCTATAATACATATAATATCAATTTAATCTTTATATAAAATATACAAAAAGTTTTGTCTCACTCCCAAACAGTTTCCTCTTCTGGCTGCCCAGTCTCCCATTCCCCAGGCCTGGGTACGATCTCGGACCCCTTCTGTTTCACCCCACCCTCCCACCAGACCTCACCCCATGAGTGCCGGGTCTAAACGGGGGCCAAATGCACCTGATCGCAAAACCCAATCTAGCAGACCTGGTAAAGACTTTTCAGCACACAATTTTTTTTGTCAGTCAAAATGGAATATTACCTCATTATTATCTTTTTTATTATCCCAAGTAGAAAGAAAATGGTCAAAATAAACCATGAAAAAAAAATGCAGGATTTGAAAAGTTTATTAGATTTATTAGACTTCCAAAACCAGGGTTATTATCTTTAACAAAAACTTTTAAAATAATTTTGTTAATGGAAATAAAACTGGAATAAAACAAAATATAAATATTAGATAAAAACATTCAAAAAACATATAAACAAAAATTAGAAATGTGGTCTTGAAACTGAAAAAATGTTAGGATGAAACACTATGATTAACTGCCAATAAATACAAACTAAAACTGAAATAAACCTAAAACTGAAACAAAAACAATATAAACTTAAATTTTAATATGAAAAAGTACATTAAATTAAATGAAAATTAAATAAAAAATTGAAATAAAAATAAAAGCTCATTCAAAATATTAATAAAAGCTATAATAGTACAATATATTGCTATTTCTAAAACAACACTGTACCAAACTGATGGGAAAGTGAATAATATATAATAATATAATATAATTTATTTTAAATTATTTTTGTGAATTTGTATTTTTTGCAGGAAGCTGGAGTGGTAACACAGGGAGAGCATGTTATCTTAGAAACAAGTCTCAACCTAACAATTCTCAAAGCATTCACGTCTTGCCAATGGAGGAGGTGAGTTCAACATCCTGTTAAAAACACCCTAGTCTCCCTTTGCTGGACCGTTCATGCTATTATGCCATCTTGCAAAACTAAAAGGCTTAAACAATACACTGATACCTGTGTTCTTTCTCAGGAGGAGAGGTTGCATCGGCTAGGAGATGGACACATTCGTGTGTCTCTGTACTTTGAGGATGAGTCCCAAAGGAAGGATGATGCGATCATGGCCCTGAAGGAGGAAGTGTCAGCTCTCAGGCTCCAGCTGTCTCAGAAGAAGCAGGGTGATCCAGATGTCACACACAGACTTCGCTGCCTGGAGAGTGACATCAAAGAGAAGAAAGATCAGATACAACAGCTAAAGGAGCAGGTGTGGTATTACAGTCTCCTTTGTTACTTTACATTTGACATTATTTACAGTTTTGTGACTGTGATGGAGCTGAAGACTGTAGCTTCAAGTCCTATACCCGGGTCATCCCTATTGTGAAGGGGTGTATGAAGGGGCCTAGAGAAGTGCTAGATTCATTGTCATACACAAATACAAAAGCTGCAGGTCTGATTTTGTGATACAACCCAAATAAAGTGCACTTTTTCTTTCCGTTTGAGTTTTTTTTGTTTTGTTTTACAACATAGATCATATTGCAGCACAGTATAAAGAATGTGGAATGGGGAAAAATGCAAGGTATAGATACATATTTTTTTAAAAGTTGATGGAAAAGTAGCACAGGGATTAGTTTCATTATTTATTTTGATGGAGATGTTTCTTCTCTCTTGAAAATCCATCGCAAATCTTTCACATGCTAATTAATTATTACCATAACTGCTTTGTCTCTTTAATGGATGTAGATGCTGGGACTTCAGAGATGTTCTGGAGAGATGCTCGGACAGGCTGTGACAGCAAGAGATCAGAAGATCAGCAATCTTTTAGAACAGATGGATAAATTGAGGAATGAAAAGAATTCATCTGCAGGTATGAGGATGATAATATAGGGGGGATATTTACAGTAATGTAGAAAAATTATGATAAATTATATTGACATTTGCTATGAGATGTAATATGATATTATTATATATACATTTGTATGTATAAAAGTACGTTTAAGCATATATAGTATTATTATTTTTATACTTCCTTTAATATACAGTTCGAACATTTTGAGTGTGTAAGAAAAAAAAAAAAAAAGAATTTATAAGACATTTATAATATAATATAATATTTAGCTTTATATTCATCAAATAATCCTGAAAAAAATATAGCACATTTTTGTGGGGAAAAAAATCAACATTAATAATAAGAAATGTTTGAAATTGAAATAACATTTCACAATATTACTGATTGTGTTTTACTGTATTTATGATCAAATAAATGCAGCCTCGTTGAGTTCTTTCAAAAATAGTAAAAAAAACTTACCACCTCCAAACTTTTGATCATTTGTGTAATACTGAGATGAATTGTTATATTTTTGTAGTGAAATTATCAAGAATATATTTGTTGCACACAGGCACCAACCTTTTAGATCTGAGCAGTTAGTTACTTTGTGTTTTATTTCATTTTTTTCTTTATTTAGCGTTGGTTGGCAGTTTAAAGAAAGATGTGTCTGCTCGAGAGAAACAAGCTCTTAAACTAGCAGCTGAGGTGGACAAGCTCAGACAAGACGTCAGACACAAAGATGCCAAGCTCACAAGCATGATGGACAAGGTTCCAGCATCCCTCTCTTTCTACAGCCGTTGAGCTCTGTAGATGTTTTAAACACCAAATCAGCATATTAGAATGATTTCTGAAGGATCATTTGACACTGAAGACTGGAGTAATGGCTGCTGAAAATTTAGTTTCACCATCCAGGAGTAAATTACATTTTACAATATATTACAATTGAAAATTTTAAATTGAAATAACATTTCACAATATTACTGATTGTGTTTTACTGTATTTATGATCAAATAAATGCAGCCTCGTTGAGTTCTTTCAAAAATAGTAAAAAAAAACTTACCACCTCCAAACTTTTGATCATTTGTGTAATACTGAGATGAATTGTTATATTTTTGTAGTGAAATTATCAAGAATATATTTGTTGCACACAGGCACCAACCTTTTAGATCTGAGCAGTTAGTTACTTTGTGTTTTATTTCATTTTTTTCTTTATGTAGCGTTGGTTGGCAGTTTAAAGAAAGATGTGTCTGCTCGAGAGAAACAAGCTCTTAAACTAGCAGCTGAGGTGGACAAGCTCAGACAAGACGTCAGACACAAAGATGCCAAGCTCACAAGCATGATGGACAAGGTTCCAGCATCCCTCTCTTTCTACAGCCGTTGAGCTCTGTAGATGTTTTAATGATGCTGTTTTAAAATGTTTTATCAATAGAAGATAACTATTCCTTTTGTTTGGTGTTGTTTTAAAAGCTGAAAGACACCCAGAAGCATCAGAATGAGCTACTTGCCAGACAGAATGAAGTAGAATCGCTCAAGAAAGTGAGTATGTTTTGTTTCGCTCACACCCAGTCCTGATCTCCACATGATTTAATAAACATACAGCCTCTTGGACACCACAACCCAGGTGGGACTTGAACCCACAATCCCCAGCTCCAGAGGCTGATGCCTTATCCATTAGGCCACTGGGCCAGGCAAATGCAACTTATGAAATCTGGTGTCATGTGTGATGTGTGCTGCAGGAACAGGCTTCTCTGCTGACAGACATAGACAGGCTGAAGCAGCTTCATCAGCAGACGCAGCAGAGAGAACAGAGAGTTCAAGAAGAGCTCAAACACACCCAGTCAAGGGTGAGTGAGTTCAAGACAGCAACAACAGTCTGGTAAGATGACTACTCTGGTATCTATTATGCTAATGTATCTGCATTTTCTTCAAAGTTTGACCGTTTTCGTGACCAGATTGTCAAGACTGTGCATGTTTCTGACAAAGAATCAGACCAAAAGGTAAGAACATTTCAAGCCAATCAGAAGCCAAGTTTTTGAGGATTGTTTTGCAAAAAAGGTGTCAACGTGTTAACAGTATAGGTGATGGAAATGAGAATTATCAATACATTTTTACAAATGTCAACAAAATCTTTTTCATTTAACTTTAGACATAAATTATGTGTTGCGGAAAACTAGTTTGGAAGCACATTTTAAGCGCCTCTGAGCCTCGTTTCTCCCAAGATTTTTTTCTCCTCTACTGTCACCTGAAGATATTTAATATTCAGTAATATTATTGATTTAATGGCACTGACACTATCAGATGAGAACAAAATTTTAACATAATTGAGCTAGATAATGACACTAGCTTTGCAAAATCAACACTGTTATTGAACTGAATTAAATCAGCATTGAACTGACTTGAGCTGAATAATGACACTATCGTCTGTAGAGCTGCTTTACAGCTTAATTTAAATTCTATTTCTTGATTGAAGAATTTTACAACATTAGCTGCTATTTTCCTGTTTGATTAATGTTGCTTCTTTGAAATAATTAGTTTTATTAATGTGAAGCTGCTTTGAACACCTGTGTTGTATAAAGTGTTACATATATATGAATGTGACTTAACTTGAACTCGAGAATCAGATATAGTTAGGTGGACCACATGTATGATATCTTTGTGGTGCCTTTTTATAGCTTGCCAGCTTCAGTCCATAGTCTGTCATTATATTGAAAAGAGTTGGCAGGATATTCAAAAATTCGCTGGTTTGGACAGACATGCGGGTGAGAAATCTGTGCCAAAATTTCTTTGTTGGATGAACTTTTTTTATATTTGTTTTTATTTTGCAGGTGTTGGACTGTTTAACTGAGTTAATGGAACAGATGGCGATGTACAAAACAAAAGTGGATGACTTTGAAATGAAACTCAAAGAGGAAGCTCACACACAGAGGGAAATGTTGGATGAGACCCAGAAATTTAGAGCCAGACTGCAAGAATGTCAGGTATTAGTAGTTGGAAACATTGATCGATGTACAAAACAAAAGTGCATGACTTTGAAATGAAACTCAAAGAGGAAGCTCACACACAGAGGGAAATGTTGGATGAGACCCAGAAATTTACAGCCAGACTGCAAGAATGTCAGGTATTAGTAGTTGGAAACATTGATTATGCCATGTAATGCTGTATGTTTGTGTTTCAGCATTGCACAGCATGTTGAACAGCTATATAATATCTCTTTCCATTTGAATATAGAGACGAGTACAAGATGCATGTGTTGCGGACAATGTTCTGAGGGAAATATCTGGGCTGCAGAACATGAATTTGGGTCCTACGCTCAGCTGGATTCAGGAGCATTCACTTTCCATACTGAACGTCCTGTACAGAGTACTGCAGAATGCTGCTCAGAGATTACAGACAGCAGGGGTTGATGTGTCATTGAAGACTGGAGGTAAGAAATAGAAAGTTTAGAGAGATTTAGGAGAACTGGGTTTGACAAGAATAGAAGTGATATTGCTTTCAGTATTACAGGATCACAAATTAAGTTGAAATGTTATAAAATTTCAGCGCATTTTACGGAAAAGTAGTCTGAATTATTGTTATTATTTGTTTTGTCTAGGAATATCAGGTGCCTTACAGATTTTGTGCCAGGACCACATGGACGTCCAATCCGAGCTAAGGAAACTAAAGGTATTACAGCAAAGTATTTCAAAATCAGTTAAAGAATCAGAAAGTGATTCTAAAGAAACACGTCTTTCTTTCCTGCACTGAAGTCAGAGAGGGACAAGGTTCAGGAGACAGAGATTCAGAGGAGAGATCTTCACAGCAGGCTGGAGTTCATGCAAACTCAGTTTGAGATGGAGAAACTTCAGGTGCTGTTGTCTCTCCAAAAACACCAAGTCAAATTAAACTCGTTTCATTTAGTCTCTGAGGCATAGACCTCTTGAGGGATGGTCTCAATTAGATTGTCATTTAGCTTTTTCGGTTTTTATAATTATAGATAAAACTCATCCCGGTTCCAATGGAAATTTGTATATTAATGAAAGTATTTCAGAGAACTGACTCCAAGCTGATGGACTAGATTCATTTCATGAATTGAGCTCTCTAAAAAATTCTGTTTCACTGAAGTTTCTCCTGACCTTTGACCTGTTATTGATTCAGGCAGCAGAGGGACAGAGAGAGATGAAAAACACACTAATGCGACAGCTGGAAGAGGTCATGGCTGATCTACAGTCAGTGAGACAGACTGAGGTGAGTTAAAACTGAAAACTGAACTAAAATTGAATTTATCCTCTTAAATGAAATACAGTTGACCTCAACTCACAACACTTGCTCCACATCTATATTTGATTTGGTTTCTAAGGCCCTGTTTACACTAGTGTGTTTTAGTTTTAAAATGAAAACGATCCTCGTCTACACTGGCATTTTCACTGTGTTTCAGAAACGATCTCCGACTACACTACACAACTGAAAACGCATGTCACATACCATTTATGCAGGTACAACCATAGATATGTATAGGTAGATTCCTTTTATTTAGATGGCGGACACGTCTATGTGCTTGGAGCGGTCGAATGAGGAATCTACCTATACATATCTATGGGTACAACAATGAGCATGATGTTATTGTTTTCACGGTCGTCAAGGATACGCAAACAGAATGTGGGCAGCCATGCCATAGTTTTCAAAAGTCTCCGTTTTGGTCTGTTTACACTGAAACGCAACCCCAGAGTTTTCAAACTAAAACGGGGTCTGCAACGTTTTCAAAAGTCTCCATATTCGAGGGTCGAAAACGCCGGAGTAGTATAAACAACAGGCGTAGTAACCGCAGCAAAAGTTATGCGTTTTAAAACGAAAACGCACTAGTGTAAACAGGGCCTAAGGGCCTAGTTGCCAAGTATTTACCCATATGTGGGTACATAACCATATTGTTTATTTGCTTCTACCCTTTTGACACATTAGAAAGTCCATTTCCGCCACATATGAAAAAAATGGTTTGGTGAATCATAATGATGACAAAATAAGTTGACTAAGACATTCATAAATATGACATAAAAGTCACATTTTATATAATAACTATGACTTTAAAAAGACACAATTATCTCATATTTTTTTACTTTTATCTCATAATTATGACATTTATGTATATTTAGAATTTTATCTCATAATTGTTTTACTTTTTCCCAGTTTCCAGCACATGGCCATATTGGTTATCTCTGATATTATGAGATAAAAGTCAAATTATGGCATAAAAAGTCTTAATCATAAGATAAGTCGTAAGTATGAGATAAAAGTAAAAAAAGTCATAAGTTAAATTATGAGATAAAGTCATAACAAAATTTGCCTTTTTGTGTTATAATTATGATTTTTTTCATAAATCAGGCTTTTCATCTCAGAATTATGACTTAGTATCTAATGATTTCCACTTTATATATCACAATTATGACGTTTCTTCCTCATAATTATGATTTACCAAAGCATGATGTTTTTTTTCTTATGTGGAAATGGGTATCCATAGGATACAGAACCACACAATGTAAGTTGTTAAAGACACAATTATCTCATATTTTTTACTTTTATCTCATAATTATGACATTTATGTATATTTAGAATTTGATCTCATAATTGTTGTACTTTTTCCCAGTTTCCAGCACATCGCCATATTGGTTATCTCTGATATTATGAGATAAAAGTCAAATTATGGCATAAAAAGTCTTAATCATAAGATAAGTCGTAAGTATGAGATAAAAGTAAAAAAAGTCATAAGTTAAATTATGAGATAAAGTCATAACAAAATTTGCCTTTTTGTGTTATAATTATGATTTTTTTCATAAATCAGGCTTTTCATCTCAGAATTATGACTTAGTATCTAATGATTTCCACTTTATATATCACAATTATGACGTTTCTTCCTCATAATTATGATTTACCAAAGCATGATGTTTTTTTTCTTATGTGGAAATGGGTATCCATAGGATACAGAACCACACAATGTAAGTTGTTCAACTCCATGACTGTCACTTTATTGCCTTCCAAGAGTGCCTTGCGCAGGGAGATCGAGACACGCAAGGCCGAGTGGCAAACCAAGATGGAAGAAGCCAAGATACGAGAGGCAGAGCTGAAAGAAACGCTGAAAGAAAAGGAGGAGAGGAGCGAGAAGATGAAGCAGTTTGAGGAAAGAGAGGCCAAGGCCCTGCAGAGAGGAGCTGAAGAGGAGAGAAAGAAACACAGGGTTGAGGTAGAGGAGTACAGGGAGCAGGTGCGACAACATGCATTCACCATTGTTGCCATGGAGACACGAATAAACAAAGCTCAGCAGAGTGAGGAAAGATGGAAAGAGATTGAGGAGGAGAGAGACTCACTGAAGGAGCAACTCAAAGGTGAGCACAGCCTCTCATAAACATGTCCGAAAATAATTGAACTGAATGTACATTTAAATAAATAAATTTAAAACAAAGAAACATTATGATTTAAAATGAAAAAGAAGTATTAGCTTATACAAGAAATATAAGAAATTAACAAATATAGAAACCAGTTTTAAATTATTTTTTTTTTGATATCCTGCAGTTTCATATGTTACCTGTTGAGGGCAGCTTCTCAACAGCCTTAGGTTCCCAATTAAAACTAATTTGTGGAACAGATTTTATGTGTCCTACATATGTGTTATGTGTTCATTATCATGTTTACCCTTGTTGTACTTGTCCCACAGAGGCGCTCGGTAGGCTGGGGGGCTTTGAAAGCAACAGCACATCTTACACATCAGAAAAACAACAGGAACCGGATCAAACCATAACATCCCTCCGGTATAATAAAGCTCTCATGAATACCATCACTGCATTCCCCATCTTTCAAAATCTATGTTGTATATTTTTATGGTAAATATTTCTCCCATTTAGCCAGTAGGCCTGCTTTGGAAACCAGTTGCAACAGCTCTGGGCGTATATAAGATTGTAGCTTAGCGATTTATATATTGCATAAGTTACTGTGTAAACCGATTCCCTTACTCTGTCATTACATTCACCGTGAGAAGGATAATATCCATACACTGTGCTCTTGTTAATGAATAATGCATGAGGTTAATTATTTATTCATGCATTATTTATGAAACTCTTGCTTAATAACTAATTACACAGTCCATGTCTCGCTCTTTAAATCATCTCATAGATCAGGCACTGTTAAATTGTAGCTGCAAATATGTCTCTTTCTACTTCCTTTCACTTTTTACTATACAATTACTGTCAAAATGCTAAAATCTCCTAAATTATAATGATAACCACAGACAATGTATACATGCTTTTTTAAAATGATTCATTTAGTGATATTTTTTTCATTAAAAATGATCAGGAGTGTTCATGAATGACTTATTATTTTCATTAAACAATCTATACCATACTCAAACTGAATCTATTGTATTCAGAATAAGAAGGTTTTTAATTGGTCTTGCAGGGCATCTCTAGTCTCATCCCAACAGGAAGTGGTCAGTCAGAGTGAGATCATCAATGCCCTAAGTTGTGACCTGTCCCAGGCTCATGCTCAGCTCTCTGATATGACAGGTGCTGCACAATTAACACAATACGAGATCAATATGTTGTAGTTTTTGTGTTTCTGAGCGTGTGTCTCTCTGTGTAGGAGAACTTAGTGAACAGCAGAAGTTAGAGTTTGAAAGTCATAAAGCTTTGGTGGTAGACCAGAAGATTCAACTGAGCATGCTCACACAGAAGCTAACCATGATGTCACAACTAGTGCAACAGAAAGATGAAGAGACAAAGAAACTGGGAGAAAAACTGAGGTATGACCAAAAATGACAGTACATTGGCCTTGCAAAAAATCAGACATAAACTGATGCATTAAATCATTTTTGTTAGACAAACTGAAGAGGATTCGAAAAGTAAAGCAGCAGCATACAGAGAGATGGAGAACACAAGCCTTGTTCCACTTCAAACCTCAAGAAACACTAAAGTGAGTTTGCCACCAAACTGGACAATAATTTATCTAAATGATTTATCACTTTTGACATGTAGAGGATGTATACACTTTCTTTGTTTTTCTTTTTTTCTGAATAGAAAACTGATTGAATGATAACAGGATATTAAAACATATTCGCTGAATGAGTCCCACCGAGGCACAAAATGTGCCTGATATGAGCTTTTTTGAAATTTCTGTTCATCAAAGAATTCTGAAAATAATATTTACCAGCACAGTTTTCAACATGAATCATAAGAAACATTTCTTGAGAACCAAAATCAGCATATTTGAATGATTTCTGAAGGATCATGTGACTGAAGACTGGAGTAATGATGCTGAAAACTGAGCTTTGCCATCACAGGAATAAATTACAGTTGAAAATATACAGTATTAAAACAGAAAACAGTTATTCTAAATTGTAATAATATTTCCCAATATCACTGTTTTTACGTAAAAACAACAACAACGTAGCCTTGGTAAGAGGCTTCTTTCAAAAACAAACAAAAAAAGTCTTAAATTTTTTTTTTTTTTGATATCCTTTCATATGTTACCTGTTGAGGGCAGCTTCTCAACAGCCTTAGGTTCCCAATTAAAACTAATTTGTGGAACAGATTTTATGTGTCCTACATATGTGTTCTGTGTTCATTATCATGTTTACCCTTGTTGTACTTGTCCCACAGAGGCGCTCGGTAGGCTGGGGGGCTTTGAAAGCAACAGCACATCTTACACATCAGAAAAACAACAGGAACCGGATCAAACCATAACATCCCTCCGGTATAATAAAGCTCTCATGAATACCATCACTGCATTCCCCATCTTTCAAAATCTATGTTGTATATTTTTATGGTAAATATTTCTCCCATTTAGCCAGTAGGCCTGCTTTGGAAACCAGTTGCAACAGCTCTGGGCGTATATAAGATTGTAGCTTAGCGATTTATATATTGCATAAGTTACTGTGTAAACCGATTCCCTTACTCTGTCATTACATTCACCGTGAGAAGGATAATATCCATACACTGTGCTCTTGTTAATGAATAATGCATGAGGTTAATTATTTATTCATGCATTATTTATGAAACTCTTGCTTAATAACTAATTACACAGTCCATGTCTCGCTCTTTAAATCATCTCATAGATCAGGCACTGTTAAATTGTAGCTGCAAATATGTCTCTTTCTACTTCCTTTCACTTTTTACTATACAATTACTGTCAAAATGCTAAAATCTCCTAAATTATAATGATAACCACAGACAATGTATACATGCTTTTTTAAAATGATTCATTTAGTGATATTTTTTTCATTAAAAATGATCAGGAGTGTTCATGAATGACTTATTATTTTCATTAAACAATCTATACCATACTCAAACTGAATCTATTGTATTCAGAATAAGAAGGTTTTTAATTGGTCTTGCAGGGCATCTCTAGTCTCATCCCAACAGGAAGTGGTCAGTCAGAGTGAGATCATCAATGCCCTAAGTTGTGACCTGTCCCAGGCTCATGCTCAGCTCTCTGATATGACAGGTGCTGCACAATTAACACAATACGAGATCAATATGTTGTAGTTTTTGTGTTTCTGAGCGTGTGTCTCTCTGTGTAGGAGAACTTAGTGAACAGCAGAAGTTAGAGTTTGAAAGTCATAAAGCTTTGGTGGTAGACCAGAAGATTCAACTGAGCATGCTCACACAGAAGCTAACCATGATGTCACAACTAGTGCAACAGAAAGATGAAGAGACAAAGAAACTGGGAGAAAAACTGAGGTATGACCAAAAATGACAGTACATTGGCCTTGCAAAAAATCAGACATAAACTGATGCATTAAATCATTTTTGTTAGACAAACTGAAGAGGATTCGAAAAGTAAAGCAGCAGCATACAGAGAGATGGAGAACACAAGCCTTGTTCCACTTCAAACCTCAAGAAACACTAAAGTGAGTTTGCCACCAAACTGGACAATAATTTATCTAAATGATTTATCACTTTTGACATGTAGAGGATGTATACACTTTCTTTGTTTTTCTTTTTTTCTGAATAGAAAACTGATTGAATGATAACAGGATATTAAAACATATTCGCTGAATGAGTCCCACCGAGGCACAAAATGTGCCTGATATGAGCTTTTTTGAAATTTCTGTTCATCAAAGAATTCTGAAAATAATATTTACCAGCACAGTTTTCAACATGAATCATAAGAAACATTTCTTGAGAACCAAAATCAGCATATTTGAATGATTTCTGAAGGATCATGTGACTGAAGACTGGAGTAATGATGCTGAAAACTGAGCTTTGCCATCACAGGAATAAATTACAGTTGAAAATATACAGTATTAAAACAGAAAACAGTTATTCTAAATTGTAATAATATTTCCCAATATCACTGTTTTTACGTAAAAACAACAACAACGTAGCCTTGGTAAGAGGCTTCTTTCAAAAACAAACAAAAAAAGTCTTAAAAAGTCTTACCGACTACACATTTTTTGAACAGTACTATACATTCATAAGAAAAAATGGGCAACAAAGAGAGAAAGAAGTCACACAAACACACACACTCATAGATCACAAACGGACACTTTGCTAACTGTTATATGGATGTTGTTTTCTCAGGATGTGGCAGTCATGACAGCTCCTAATGATGTCATCAATCAGGGGTCAAAACACAAAGGTCATCGCCGCGAGGAAGCGATTCTTCAACAGCAGGAAGGTTTGCGTGACATGAGAGAGCGAATCAGAGCTCTTGAACAGAAGTGGCCTAGCAGTGAGTCTTATAATCCCTTATAACTAATGATCAAACCAAAAAAGAATCTGGCGATCCTTATCTGATCTAATTCAGGCCAACATTAACCTACATTATCACTTTTCCTCTGTACTGTTTACAGAGCGTCTGTCCCAACAGGGGGAGCCAGAGAGACAGGGTCAGAAGAAGACTCCGAGACTTCAGAGATCTGCAGCTCGGAGAGGATCCATCAGTTCTGTGGTATTCGCTTTACACACTCAGACTTACATATTGAACAAGAATGTTTTATTGCAAAATTAGAATAAACATATCCGTGAACACTTTATGAAAGCAGAGGAAAAAATATTCTTTATATCTTTCATGAAACCATAAAGAAAAGCACTGAAATAAGTATGTGAAATAAGAAAAAAGACATTTAAAAGTTTGTTATACAGTTTAACAATTTTTATTTATTTATTTGTTTGTTTGTTAAATTTCTTAAATGTCACAATTAAATAATTAAAGAAGATCAATGATCAAATTTGGGCATACTTATTAATTTATGTCATATTTTGCTAATAAAATTATTAAATTTCTTAATTATTCTAAATTATGATCACAGTTTCATTAGTAACACTGAGCTCTCAAAATCAGTTCTCAAAGTGAAGAATCTGGTCAGTTCAGACCAAAATTGTATGATACAGGGACATTTAAAAAAAAGGGTCATCAACTGACTCAAATTTCTCATTACAAAAATTAGAATTCAAGTTATCATTATCAAACTGGAAGAATACTGAATAAGAATATATTCGAGATTGTGCACCATTTTAGGTTACTTATCAAATAAGCAAATTTGAGACTGACCATGTGAACCATTTTAAACTAAAAGTCACATGTTCTTGTTTCCATTGAAACTCAAGATGCTCTTTGGATCACTCTCAAATTTTGAAGAACATTATCATCTATTTCATAAACTTATAAATATTTAAATGGTCTCAGACTTTTGTATGTGTATGTTACTGTGAAGTGTGTTATACATGTGCTTTTATGGTTCACACAGAGTGGTTTTGCGTTCCCTGAAGCTCTGACCGAGGTAGCACGAGAGCGTACAGCCAGACTGGACATGTCTGATGCTCTGGAGCTCAGCGAGAGAACAGTGAGTGCAGTACGCATTCAAACTAAATTGTGTGAAACATGCATCTGTGGCCCTGAGATTGTGCTCTATTTTGAGTTTGCTTTAGTGAATCATTATTTTTGGTCTTTGGTTTAGTACCTGGAGCTAGCACGCGTGCTGCATGAGGCTCTGGAGCTCAGCGACGGTGAGCTGTCAGGCTGTGCTAGTTTAAAGCACCTACCTCCCGACGAGAGACAGCACATAGTCTCTATGAGACAAACAGACCTGGGGTTTTTGAGAACCCGCCTTGATCTACAGAACAGACAAAGCCAACAACAAGAACTACTGCTGCAGGAGAACCAGAGAGAGATACACACACTCAGGTGCAAACAAAAGAAAAAGCACACACTCATGACAAATAATTCCATCCCTCTTTCTCACTGTTTCATAATTTTATATTAAGATATTAAGAAAAGACACTATAAACTCCCTCTCTTCCTATTTAGAGTGTTTCATGTCAAAAAAAGAACATAACACAATGCATATTATATTTAATATACATTTGTATATACACTTATAGTTGTATAATGTATTATGTTAAATTAACAATAATATAACAAAATGATGCATATTATTATTTTATATTATAATGTTAATAAGATACAAAGAAAATACTACCTCTCTTCCTCAGTATTCAGTGGATTTTCAATACATTTTTAGTGTTAGCTGTCAAAAATAATGCATGTTATATTATATTATATTATATTATATTATATTATATTATATTATATTATATTATACCATTTAAGTGAAATTACTGAACCTACACATAGGAGCCTGATAAAATGCTAATTTTAGAAGAAAATCAGTCTTTCGCATCTGAACTCTTCATGTATATATAAATAATCTTTCTGCAGGTTATATTTCGTCAGAAGGTGGCGACATGTGACTGTTTTTATGAGTGAGTCATTTGAATAATTCCTTCACAAACACGAATTCATTCATGAACGAAACAAGTAATTGCTGCATTTATGAGTGTGCCACTGAAGTCGTGGGAAAGTTGGAAGTCATGGCCTAATGGTTAGAGAGTCGGACTCGTAACCTAAAGGTTGCGGGTTCGAGTCTCCTACCGGCAGGGATTGTAGGTGGGGGGAGTGACTGTACAGCGGTCTCTCCCACCTTCAATACCACGATTGAGGTGCCCTTGAGCAAGGCACCGAACCCCCAACTGCTCCCCGGGTGCCGCAGCAAAAAAATGGCTGCCCACTGCTCCAGGTGTGTGTTCACGGTGTGTGTGTGTGTTCACTGCTGTGTGTGTGCACTTTGGATGGGATAAATGCAGAGCACTAATTCCGAGTATGGGTCACCATACTTGGCCACATGTCACTTCACTTTGAATCGTTTCCTCAACCGATTCGTTCAAAAACGCAGATTAATCCCTGACTAAAACATGTCTGTTTGTGAGTGAGTCATTAAATCATTCACTTGGCAGACTGGTTCAAAAATGCTCATTCATTCAGGAAGTAAACACATTTACTGTGTGGTGCAAGAGACAAGTAAGGATTGCTGTTGCTTTGTTTGGAACTGTTTTCTTTGACGGAGGAGAAACAGGCAAGTGTCTCAATATTAACTTATTGTTTATTGAACTGTGGTATAAATACAAATACATAGCTTATGGACAGCCATAAAAACCAAGCAGTATGTCCTCAGCTAGTCTGCACCCACTTCCAGATTCCAGTGTAACAAACCTAAGTTTCATTAAAGATACATTCATTATGAATGAATATGAAATAATATATTTATATTTATATCACTCAGCAACGGCAAATATGGTGGTTTGGAATTATATCAATATGTCACCACCAGTAAATCTCTACATATCTCATTTTAAAGACATATAATATCTGAGGTATTAAAAGACATCCCTGTTCCCAGTTATATGAAAGAGTGCAAAAAATCTGGTGTTTAACAACAAACATGCCTTTGGATTTAACATTAATCCATTGTGTGGGATCATTTCCCAACTGTTCTCCACACATAGTCTCTTTTCTAAGGAAGAATTACCTTAGTACTTTTTGTTCCTCACATCTGTTCCTCATTTACAGAGCCATCTGACAACAGGGTAGAGATTCAGAAAAAACAGTGATGTATTACGTTAATTAAATACACTCAGTGCTGTGTAGACAGGCATCAAGTCTCTCCTCATCGTTTTGTCTGAATTACTGTCACACAACTCTGTTTGCTTGTTGTGGGTAGAGGAGAATAGAAAAACATAACGGACAGTTTTCAATAAAGGAAGGCTCCTGGAAGTTATCATTAAATTTCATTATACAAGCAGATAGGATCACATGAATCCATCTGAAGTACCCAATTTACATTATATCTGTTGACTTTTTTTCTTTGAATGTAGAATCAGATTATCAGCAAAATACCAGTGACCCCACGTAATATTTGAAATGATCCTCATCTTCCTCATCAGTGCTGATCACTATATGAAGTGGGTGGATTAATTCCAGCCGGCATCTGCTCCATTCAGACTTCTGGCATCAATCCAGCCCATTAGAAGATCAAGAGAGGAAAATCAGTTCAATTATTGAAAGAGGGTCCAATTCTTTGTTCATGGTAATTCAAATAGTACAAGCTATGCTATGCTCCCCAAACTGTCTCCTTCGATTAGAGACTGCTTCCCTGTGGCAAAATGTTGGTATTGCATTATCAGCTGGTATTATAGAGTTTGATGCCTGTAACCGTAAATACAGTGGCCCAAAAAGCCCAGTATAGTGTCAGATATAGTGAGACTTTACTATATAGTTTATTTTGGGACTAAATGGTTAACAGTTTGATTTTTTTTCCAGTTGCAGAGCAGTTTATTTATTTTAAGTCTCACTTAAATGTAGTTTTTGAGGTCACTGTATGTGTTTGAACATTTAAAAGTTTTAAATCTGTAGGATTTTAAAATGTTTTTAAAATAAGTCTATTCTGCTCACCAAGGCTGCATTTATTTGATTCAAAATACATTAAAAAAACTGTAATACTGTATATTTTAACACTTTAAAACAACTGTTTTCTATCTAAATATATTTTAAAATGGAATTGATTCCTGTGATGGCAAAGCTGAATTTTCAGCATCATTACTCCAGTCTTCAGTGTCACATGATCCTTCAGAAGTCATTCTAATATACTGATTTGCAGCTCAAGAAGCATTTATTATTATTATTAATGTCAAAAACATTTTTTTTCAGTATTCTTTGATTAATAGAAAGTTCAAAATAATTGAGCATTTAGCTGAAATAGAAAGATTTTGCAACATTATAAATGTCTTTCCTGTTACTTTTTGGTCAAGTCAGGGTGGGTTAAGCACTGGAAAAATGATATTATAAGGCATAATCTGTTTTTGTCCTTGTTACCCATTGTTGGCTGTGTTTCTTTGACTGGGAGTTCTGTGTATACATACATTCATGTACATCCAAAAGTCTAACGTCTGATCTTTTTATCGCATAGCCTATATAAAGACACTGACAGCATCCTACATCACAGATAGCCTCTGCTGAGGAGACTATAAAGGCAACTGAGCGCTGATGGACCATTTCATCAAAAGCTCTTCTATCATTCACAGATATCCGGCGCTCCCTTGAGAGAGATCTGAACGTGTAGGCATTTTCCCATCCTCTCCCCTCATGAAAATGCTGATGATTTCATGAAGGAGAATGACAGAAGCACTCTGAGAGGGTCCATAAATAGCAGTGGGTAGTGAGGTTGATGGGCCTAGCTAGGAGTAGGGATGGATTCCTTAATGAGCAAAATAAATGGCCACTCAATCCATCCACAAACACAGTTTGTCTTCACCTGAATTCCCTGTTTTTCTGACAGCCTGTCCTCCCTAAACAAATGTTCACTTCTGATGTAGTGTGCCACACTTTAGATTTATTGTGTGGTGTGAAGGAGTTAGTCTGTCCTGTCATAGACGTATCATTCCTGCAGGTGGCACCACATACAGTAACACATAGATGTCACTGACACTCTTATAATGTGAAAATCTCTGAAAAGGTAATGTAATGTATTCTACTTCATATTAATTCAGCTGAATACATTTGATTTTGACGTGTTATATATTTAATTCATTCAGTGCCAATTCTGCTTTGTGTCACGAGCCTCAAGCACATCATGCTACACATACGGCACAGTTTTTGGTTCATTTTGAGTTGGACGTAATGTAAAAGTAAGAACTGTGAGTCAAATGAATTCATAAACAGCTCTGATTTACTAAAAAAGTCCCAGTTCATGAGAATCATTTACCTGGGAATCGGGCTACACTGCATTTTTTGATTCACTAAAATTCACTAAAGAGAATCGGCTCATAGGAGTCATTCATTAGGGAATTGGACTACTGGTTGTGCTCACTGAACTATATAAATGTTCTCTATTATAGATCAGTCATTGTGCTGCGTGTTTGTGATTCATTAAAAATAACCATCAAAATCAGTGGTTCTCAAAGTGTGGTACGAGTACCACTAGTGATACACAGAGGAATCACAAAATTAAATATAAATTAATGTTAAAACACAATACATTTTAATTTAATCTTTATTTGAGTAAAGTTTTTTTTTTTTTTACATTTAAGTAGTTTTTATTGAACTTTTAGGTACAACACATTTTAATTTAATCATTATTTAGGTTTTTATTTACCTGTATGTAAGCATAGTGCAGTGTTAATGTTCAAACTGTGTATTTACAATGTTGAAGTGGCTGACAACAATAAATATTCTTATTAGCAATAAAACTGCCTCGTTTTTGAACTGTGCAGAGCTGTAGCTGAATAGTTAGGCCTACTATGCTACTGTATTTAAATGTTGGTCATTATGGTGGTACTTGAAGGGCCAAATATTTTCTGAGGTGGTACTTGGTATAAAAAGTTTGAGAACCACTGATCTAAATCATTTCCCAGATAGCACACGTCTGCAAGATGTCTGTTAAAGATCACTTGATCTGGATTGATCTTAAAGACATCTAATAGACGTCCATTTGACATCTGATACGAGACGTCCTATAGACGTATTGCAGATGAGCACTAAAAAATATGTCAAATAGACGTCTCCATGATGTACGTGTGCTAACAGGTTTGTGAATTGTGGTAACATTTATTCACACTTGGGTACACTTGCATTAATTCACATTTGAGATCAGGAATTTTGATCTCTTTTGCCAAAAGATTTCATATGGTTTATAACATTTCATAATTATGTCATTTCATTATGATTATATGTGTCTATTCATCAGAGTACTGATATAGAGTCAGTCTGTGCATTAGCGGTGGGGATTTTTCTGTGAATCTTTCTGCGTATCATTTTGCCAGTAGGTGAATTTTATTAGTGAGTCATTTGAACCATTCATTCAACCGATTCGTTTACAAACTCTGATTCATTCATTAATGAAACAAGTGATTCTCACTGAATCATTTACTCAACAGAATCATTCAAAACGTGGGTAAATCTGTTGCTACGTTCTAAATCGTATACATGATATAGGCTAGGCTAGTAGCCTACGTACGTTGGCTTTAAAACTGACTTTGCGATTATTAAAAAAGTATGTTTTATACCTATAGTATAAATGTGCGTAGTGTGAGTTAAACAGAACAAAACATTACAAGACTGCCAATTTCGACAGTGTTGATTAATTTTTTGAATGATTTTTTTTTCTTGTCATGTCCGAGAACCTATAACGAAAATCAAAAGAACCGATTCTGAATCTTATTTTTAATAGCATATGATCCCAAGTCAGCTGTAGAGGTTGCATTGCCTATGTTTTTCTGTGGAGGTGTCTTATCAAGGCCCATGTTTCTGGGTGGTACTACTGTGGCACGGTGGAATCAGGGTGTGTATGTGTAAAATGTGTCTGTAAATGCCCTCTGAAAGACTGGCTCCTCTTTGCAGATAACTTTGTTCTTTGGGCCCTTAAGTATGACATCATAATGGATGATCATACAGCAGCAGGAAGTGTTATCTGTGAAATGTTCAGTCACAATAACCTCAAGTGCACACAACCACACATTTTCAGGCACACACACACTCCATCCTACTCTTTCCCAAAAGACTGCTTTTTATCTACACAAGACACACACACCCATTCATATCCAGAAGCGGTCCCTGAAACCTCAGGAGGGATAAGTTGTGTTTGCAGTTAAAAAGGACTGTCTCCAACTCAGGGGTAGACAGAGGGTTGTGGATATGGTAGAAGCTTTTGTTTTGTAAATCTATGAAAACAAGTGGAATATATTTAATAACAGTCACTTGAGTATTTGAATCTGGATCCTTTGGCTGAACCCACTGAAAGTAAGTCTGGTATAATTGTATACTGTTGCATTGAGATTTAAGGAAATTCTAAGTAAGTTGTTGTAGCGGTAGAGTCTCACTTGTATAATACTAAGCATTTGTTTATCAAGTTTTAATCTTTCATAGGAGACTATCAGATGTGTATTTTATTTATTGATTTATTAAATAAGACAGCATATTTTTGCATTATTTTATGAACTATTTATCTGATGATTAACTGATCAATGAATACATAATCCACATTTCTACTTTAAGCTATGTTTTAGGTGCACATGCATGTGTAGTATTTTAAATACTCAACTTATATACAAAAACAAATGCATTGTATTAAAAAAAAAACACATTTTGCTTTGCCCTTCAGTTGTGTCTGCCTGGTTTGGACTGCGTTAATTGGACAATGTGCCGGGTTCTGAACATCCTGTTGGCTCTTCTGAGTCGCTTCCTGTTTGCTGTGCATGGCATCCTGACGGTGTGGCGTGTGGTGGAGGTGACAGGCCAGCCCTCCTATTGGCTGCTGCTGACGGGTGTGGCACTGCTGGGGGTGGAGATGGCCATCACTATCAAATACACACGCAACGCTGAATGGAAATGGTGAGGTTATGCTATCATAGACATAAATATAATGACCCTGACATCACTGAAATTCTTGCAGAATTTTACATAAATAGTAGTGCATAGTGCTGTAAATGAATCCTATCTGTTGCAAAATTAAAAATAATAAAACAGAACTCTTATAAAATAGATATTTTTTTCATGAAGTCCAGATATACAGCTCACTACAGTTGA